CCCCCCAATTTATGTTGAAATCTAATCCCCAGTGTGAGGGTGTTAGGCGGCAGGGCTTTTGAGAGGTAACTTGATCATGGAGGTGATGCCCTCCTGAAAGGGATTAGTGCCCTAATAAAAGTGGTCCCAGAGAGCTGCCTCACCCCTTCCACTACGTGAGAACTCGGCTAGAAGTTGGCAGTCTAGGCTCGGTGCCTGTGGCTCAAGTGGCCAGCCACATACATCTGAGCTGGCGGGTTCAAATCCAGCCTGGGGCCCGCCAAACAACAATGATGGCTGCAACCAAAAAAACAGCCAGGTGTCGTGGCGGGCACCTGTAGTCCCAGCTACTTGGGAGGCAGAGGCAAGAGACTCGCTTGAACTCAGGAGTTGGAGATGGCTGTGAGCTGTGATGCCACAACACTCTACCCAGGGCGACAGCTTGAGGCTCTGTCTCAAAAAAAAGAAGTTGGTAGTCTCCAACACAGGAGAGGGCCTCCTGGCACCCTGATCTTGAATCTCCAGCCTGCAAAACTATGAGAAAGTTATTTCTATTGCTTATACAGCAGCCCAAATAGACTAATAGGCCAGGTTAAGCACCTGCTCATCTCCCCCAAGAACTTGCTGGTTGTCTACAGAATCCACCCTCACTCCTTCCATGAGTGGCTGCCCAGCTGGAGACCCCAGATTCCTCTTTTCCTGCAGGTTATGTGACTGAGTACTCCAGCACAGAACCCAAGAGGAAGTGGTATATGCAGCTGACATCCACCTGGCTGCCCTTACAGCTCCCTTCCTATGCGCTGATGTCCAAGACCTCTCCACCAAATAGGGACAGTGCCCTAGAGCAGACAGACAGTCTTCACGACTGTTCCATGGGCCCCTCTGGAATCTGGGGAAGACCACAGACCCCTCTCTCAGAATGTTAACGATGCATAAAGTCATAAGGGAAACCAACCACACTGAAATACAATTATTAAAATACTGAATAAAAATATCTGCAATGTACTAATAGATGTTCTTCTTTATAAACATCTTAAATAAGACCTAGAGGCAGATCTAGTGGCCATCATAACTCGAAAGTAGCAACAAGCACAACATGATTCTGAAATATCTACAATGACTTAAATGTGATATGAAAATACCCGGGACTTCTGCTTCTGCTGGTGACGAAGCCCCAAGTGGCTTCTTGCCAATGCTCGTAATGGGAGGAAATGTGAAGTTTCATATACAGGTTAATAAAAATAAAGACGTAATATTTTCCCCATTAAAATTCACATGGTCTCCTGAATTCTAACTATGGTTTCTCCAGGGGGTCTGTGAAATCCCCCAGTTGAAAAGCCCTGCCCTGGGAGACAGTGGGGCAGGATGTGAGGACCCTGAATCACCTTGTGGCCAGAGAACATTATCCCCCATATGAGGAAGAAATCAACTCTTATATGCTTTAAGCCATTGCATGTCTGGTCTCTTTATCCTCATAATATAAATACCCAGATGTTGCCCTGACATCCCTGGGCACAATCAATTCTCTCTCCCCTGGTGTACCAGGGAACTGGTGTTCTCCCCTGGGAGGCCCAGCCCCATCACAGCGCACAGCCTTTTTTAGCAACTGCCCACCTCCCACACTCAACTAGGAGCTCCCAGGGGCAAGAACAGGGCCTGGTCACTGGAACAGCTCCAGCACCTTGCATGGGCCGGCTCAGGGGTGCAGTGAAGGTTGGCACCTATGGGAACGCATGGCTCTATGCACTCTGCACACCTTCCCCCACGTCATGCTCCTGGTGAGCTGACTGGGGGGGGGCTCCAATATTATCACCAAGGCTGGTGAAGACACACAGGCTCCAGGAGGTTAAATGAGTTGCTCAGGGTGCTGGGACTAGTAAGGGGAGCAGGCCTGAGCCCACGAGTGGGACTCAGAGCCAGAACACTAAGCCACTGGACTCTGAACAATGGTCAGCAGTGCCCGAGGCGGCCTACCTTGATGAGGATCTTCTCCCGCAGCTGGCTGGGTGAGGGCAGCTGGTCGGCACTGGCCTCCGTGGGCTTCATCAGAAGCAGGTCCCCAAACACCTCCTTGAAGGTCTTGGCCATGTGGCGCTGCTGCTCCACACTGCAGTGTTCCTCGATGGACAGGATCACCGGGAAGCTGTGGGTAGCAGAGGCCGGGCAGCTCGGCGAGGGTGCAGGCGCCTGTGATGTCTGCCCGAGCGGCCCCGGAGATGGTGGGACACCGGGTGCTGCTCAGGGCACACCCACCATGCCTGCCCTCCCTGACAGAGCAGACCTCATCCTGGGGGGCCCGGGTGGGAGCCCCAGGTCTCAGAATAGTTCCAATCTGATTCAGGCTTCCCCAACCCCCAGAGTAGGAATTTTCTCAATACTTATCCTTCCATCCTCAAACTCTTGGGCTCAAGCGATCCCCCTGCCTCAGCCTCCTGAGTACTTGGGACTACAGGTACCCACCACAACACTCAGCTGAGTCTTCTATTTTTTAGTAGACGTGGGGTCTCACTCTTGCTCAGGCTGCTCTCAAACTCCTAAGCTCAGGAGATCCACCTGCCTCAGCCTCCCAGAGTGCGGGGATCACAGGATTACAAGCACGAGCCACCACACCCAGCCAACATATCTTTAAGTTACAAAAACAAAAAGGCCCTAATTGTTTTTTAATTTCAAACCTACTGAAAAGATGAAAAGAGATGAAAAGACAGGACAATGAGCACCCATGTGTGTTTCACCTAGAGTCACCCCATGTTCACCCACATATTTTAATATATTTATTTCTTATAAAGTGTATGGGTTTTACATAGTCATATATGATTTATATGTAATTTGTAGATATATACGCACACACATATATGGGCTATTTTATGTGTACATATATGTATTTACACGTGCTGTGTGTCCTTATGTATCACTGGTATGTGTGGACGTACAGTCCATTCTCATCATCTGAGTTATGAGTCCACGAAGTCACCACCAACCCTGATTAGCCAATCCATGAGCCATTGCTACTAAGGGGACATTCGGGGTTAGGGTCTTTTGAGCCTCTGGTCACAACACTGTCTTCAATCAATGAACATATGCCCTTGTTTTATAAGGGTTTCTGCTCAGAGACTCCTTAATTCAGTACCTGCTGTTGACTCATTCCCACCGAGCTCTCAGCAGCAGCCCTGGAACTCGTGCTGAGCAAAGCGTCTCTAACTCACGTTCTCTCCACAAGGCACGTCACAGCCTTCTGCGGCCTTCAGCACTAGATGACGCTTCAGCACTGTGCCTGGGGCCATTTTAAACAGCAAAAC